TCTCTCTCTCTCTCTCTCTCTCTCTCTCTCTCTCTCTCTCTCTCTCTCTCTTTCTGTCTTATCTAGTCAATTCTTTTTTTAAATTTATATGTTTTAGTAATCATAAATCATTTTATATATCTGCTTGCGAAAAAATAATTTTTCATAAATAATCGAAATATATATTTATATATAATCTTAATATAATAAATTTATATTTTTATTTATATATATATATATATAATTAATATATGTATTTATCACATTTATTATTTATGACTTTTAATACGAAATTATTATTAACATACGAAATTAATAATAACCAAGTAAATAAAAAATTTTCTTACATAATAAATAAAAAATGAAAATAAACTTTTTTCAATTTTTATTTTTTTGTAACATCTGATTGATTTATTTATAGAAATATTTTAAAAAATTAATTTTAACTATCATTCATATAATTGTCGAATATTTACTAGTTTACACTATAATCGAATATCTAGTTATTTTAATGTCTGTATAAGTACAAAAGTATATAAATATCTTTAAATATGTTTTATGTTAAAAATTATTTAAATAAATATTTTTATATATAGTAAATAACTGCACTAATAACATTAAATTTACTTTTAATATTAGAAATTACATGTTTAAAAATATATGAGCAAAACTTTTCAAAATTCGATTCCGGAAACAAGAGAATTCAACATCGACAAAAGTAACCAATCGCCATCTTGTTTGATCGATAGTTGAATCTCGAAACACTCTCGAATCAGAGGTCTACGGCGCGATACGTAAGTGCTCTGTGTTTGTTTGCTTCTTGCGGAACGAAGCTCTCGAATATGACTCAAGAAGGCCAGTAAGTATATAAGAAATCACATAAAATTTTTTTCGAATATGTTCCTTGATCTTGAAATTCCTTCTTATTAGTATTATTATAAAAATAATAATAGATATTCATGAAATGAGCTTGAATACCGCCCCGTGGCTTTCGAAACACCGCCATATTGTAAAGATGGCTTTATTGATTCTCGAAATTTCTGGAAAAGAATCACAAGAAATTGTTTTATCTCTTTTTTCTTAATTTAAAATATATTGTTTTTGTTAATTTTTAAGAATGATCACTCTATTAATTAGCTTTATTATATTTTTTTTATTTTTAGATAATTGAGTAACAATACTATTTTTTAATAACTTGTATTTCTAAATAATTGACTATATATTTAAAATGCAAAAAGTATATTATTTTTTTTTATACTTCATTAAATTGTATCCAATAATTTTATATCATTTTTATTTTTCACAATTCATTTATAAAAATAACATCATTTCATCTATAATGACTAGCGGTTTTAATTGGAAACCATAGAGCTTTGTTTCTAACCTTTACTTACATTTTACAATTATTTTACATATATTTCAATATCTCTTTAATGTCTGGATTTTATTAAACATCGCATGTTATTTTTTACATAAATTATACATTAGAAATTAATTATTATATAGATTATTATATATTAATGATTATATAGAAATATAATTAATATTCTAATATCTCTGTAATCTAATCTCTGTAATATTATTATAAATTTATTGTAAATATATTTCATGTATACATTATACAAAAGTACTATAAATAGTAATAAGTGAACAATATAACTGACAAATAATAATTAATGTAAAATTATAATATATAAATATTATTTTTTATCATTTGATTCTTTATTTTAATGTTTTTTTAATTAATATTTTATAATATATAATTTAATTTATATATTATATAAAGTTATTGACTGTTTGAAAATTTTTCAGATTGCCTCCCCCGCCTGTTATGTGGGCTCAGAGAAAAGATATTTTATTTGTTACTATCTGTCTAGAAGATTGCAAAGATCCTATTATTAACATCGAACCACAAATGATATATTTTAAAGGAATAGGTGGAACAGAACAAAAAATGCATGAAGTAACAATTAACCTATATGAAGAAATTACCCCAAATAGAACAATTCAAAATTTAAGAGGAAGGACTTTAGAATTAGTTCTTTTTAAAAAAGAAGAAGGTCCATATTGGCCAAGATTAACAAAAGAAAAGACGAAAGCCCATTGGTTAAAAAGTGATTTTAACAAATGGAAGGATGAAGATGATAGCGATGATGAAGGTGGCATGGAAGGAAGTAGTCATGATTTGGAAGAAGTAAGATACTATTAAATTAAAAAAATAGAATTAATTATATTTAAAGTATTTATTTAAATATATTATTTTGAAAGAATCAATTTTATAATCTAAATTTGTGCTATTATTTAAAGATGATGCGACAGATGGGTGGTCTAGGAGGATCTGGAGACAGTAAACCAAACTTTGATGATTTAGACGAACTAGGAGATGAAGGTGAAGGAATGGATAGTGACGATGATGATTTACCTGACCTGCTTGAATGAAAATATTATGATGCTACTTTAAAATAATCTTCATTAAAAAAGTAAAACATACAAAAAACAAATGGCGACCTAAGTGCACCATCAGGCAATATTTCAGTAGGCCATGCTATTTGTATTTTCATTAAATTTGCTAATGGCCCACATTGCAGTAGCAGACAAATAAGGTGCACAAGAAATTGTCAACATAACAGAATACAGTGGTCAAGAGAAAAAAAAAACAGTAATATTCTTTTTAAAGATTTTCCAATCCTTCTTTACTTCGTAATTCATATGCTAAGTTATAATGAACAATCCTTTTTTAATAATAATTACTTGTGTATAATATGAAGGAGATAAAATAATGAAAATGACCTAAATTTTTTGTGGAATTGTTTATTTCAGAAAATCCCATTAAAAGAACTTAGTACATACAATGTATGTATGTATAAAAAAAAACAATTTTTATTGAAAATAGTCTTATTTTGTCTCTTTATAAATTCGATTTATTTTTGTTTACATTTGCAGCCTTATAATTAATTTACAGATTTACACCTATTTCGTTATTCTACAATAAGTATGATATAATTACAAAATAAAATATCCGTGTTCTATATTATTTAAATATAAGGAAATTATAGAAAATAAAATTCTCATTTATTTTATCCAACAATACTGGAGGCACCGCGCAACGCTAGATATCCAGCAGTTATATCCATTGGTAGACTTCGAACTGTTGCAAATTCTTCTGCAGTTGCATAGTATAATTTAGTTTGTGGATCTGTATATCGTGACTGTAAAATAAATATAATTTATATATTTGTTTTATATTTTAATCCTATAACCAATCATATATAAATGTAAAAAAATCGCTTACGGGTAATCCAGAAATATCCGAATACTTTTTTGCTGGTCTGAAGCTTGGCGGTGCATTAATAGAACTATCTAAAATTTTTCAAGTAATATAATATTCATATATTATATTTCAATGAAAAAATTTAATATTTATTATTATATATTTACTGTATATATTTTAGTAAAATTTTACATTACTGATACTAAATTTTGATGTGCACGTACAAAAAAGTTATAAAATGAATTACATTTAAACATAATACTAAATATATAAATTTTGTATATACTTATAATTATACTAAAAATTTTTTGTTCTTGAATTATTTAAATCAATCTAGATTTATATATGTAATATTAAAATAAATAAATCATACAATGCACTACTTCTGGAAGCCATGGTAAAGTGCGTTCTTGAGCTAAGACTTGTTTTAATGAGCGCCAAGTTCGTTTTTTTCCAGTGGTACTAGTAGATCGAAATTTCTGTTGAAAAATTGGATTTTTAAAAATTGGTTGTGGTTTTTTATTAAATTCCACTATTTCTTCATTTACCATTTTTCCTCTCATATAAAATATAAATCTCCTATAAAAAAAATATATTTTAATGGATATATATAACTTTTGATATTTATTGAGATTAATTACATAAAGATTACATTATCATTTAATAAATTTATATTTATTCAGTATATTATATTAAATATATATTTATAGATTTTTTTTTATAAAATTAATATTTAGAAATAATATTTAGAATCATTTTTCTCTTGGATTATATAAGACTAATATTTCTTGCACATCACATCCTAATATACCACAAATTGTATGCATCATAGTTGTGTTTATATGTTTAACCAGAACTTTAGCTGATTGACTCAAAATAAGTACAGCTGTATAATAACTCTTTGAACTCCTAAAAAGAATATTTTATCCATTCAAATCCTAATACTTATATAATATTTCTTTTAAATAAAATACCTCTGAAAATCAAAATGGTATTTGTATCCATGCATAAGGTATTTTTTAATAATAACTGGTAAATTATCTTCAATTAAAACAGCACCTTTTTTACTTGGTTCAATTAAACATAGAATTGCATGATGACAAAGTAATTGATTATATTCTATTCGATTCTTTGTATCATAATTAAATTTTGAATTCTGGATATAGTTAATATAATAGGTAATAAGTTAAAATAATTGAAAAAATACTTTAAATAAAAATAAAAAATATATATATATGTACTGTATAACCTTTGTTATGTGTAGGGTAACTTGAATATTTCTTTTTATATATTCTACATCTTTTATATACAATAATAACAATTTTTCAGTCATTTCTATCTCTTTTTTTGTAAAATTTATCATAATATTTGTTAAATTGTGTTTAAGAAAAGTTTTTTCATCGTTATCCATTGAAATGTCATTACTTTTCTGATAATCATGTGTACTTGTATTATAACAAAATAGTTTAGAATTTTCAAATATTGTAACTTTTTTAAATTATTTTTTTGCAATTATGGGAATTTATATATTTTTGTTCCATGTTATAGATGATGGTAAATTGTATTTTGATCCATTTAATTTATTCGCTAAATTTGTTTTTAGTTTCTTATTACAAATTATAATTTTGTTATGTGTTTTGAGTTCCCCCTTTTTTATAATTCCATTATATTTTCTTTTTGTTTTTATTTTCTGAAGAATCTTTGAATTAATATTTTTTAAATGGGAGTTTAAAATTTGTGTGTTATTTAAATAGATAAGTTTATCAAAGAGATTAGCATGTTTTTCCATAAAATATTTTATATTTTTTTCTGTGGAAAAATCCAAATCTTGTTGCATATTAACTTCTTTTATTTCTTCTGCAGGATATAGTTGTTTTAATGTATAAGATTTATCTATATTCGTCATAAATGCAATTTTGTTGAATTTCTTGTAAGTACAAGACTCAATTCTTAAACCTAAGTTTTGGATAAATGTATGTATAAATTTATCCATATTAAACTTTGACATTTTAAACATGTCACAAATCTTTGAATTTAAAAATTATATTTATGATATTAACTAAAATTAATAGATAAATATTTTAAAATAATATGTATAATAAAATATAAAATCCTAATTTTTGTGTTATATAAACATTGACAAATCATTATAAACAAACTTATGCAATTGTTTCTTTATTCAACTTCATAATAATAAACAGCATAATTACTTTTATTAATTTAATAATTTAAATTTCACAAGTAATAAGAATATAGTGTATAATAATAATTAAAAAATAATGTTCAAAGTTTTTTGTTAACATGCGTTTCTTTTTTTGCAATTTTGTTAAATTGTATCAAAAAAGGATCTTAAATAAAGAATTCATCAAATATAGTAAGTATACCCCATATTTTATTCCGTTATAATAAATAATCACGAACAACAAATATCATCAATTTTATTAAAAATAACTTAAAAATTAATTAACTAATTTAATTAAAAAATTTCATAACCTTTAAAATGAAATATATTTATTTGAATCCAATTATGATGATATATCATACATCACATTATTTATAAATCATTTATAAATATTGATCTTATTAAATTTATTTCTCACATTAAAATAAGTCATTTTTTATGATTTTAAATATAATCTCTAATATAATCTCTATTTATTACTCACCATTAATAGACCAACACATTGTTTCAAATCGATTACTATATACATAAGTTGAATGTTAAATATGCTATAAATTATTACTTTTCAATGTTTAATAAATAAAAACTTAATTTAATAATATCTTTAAACTTTATATAATATAATTTATTTATTAATTTTATGATATATTTTATTTTATTTGATTTTAAAATTTTAAAATGATTTTAATATTTAATTATTTCATCAAATTTATCATTTTTTAAATTTTAATTCATTAAATTTATAATATTCAAATTATAATTAAATTCAAATTAAAAATCTTTTTTTGATTATAAAATTATACAAAAGATTATTAAGATTTATAAAATTTTGAAATATACTTATTTATGAAAAAATATATTTAACACAAATAATTTTCTTTTTGCAAATAAAATAATTATTTTAAATTATTTGATTAAAGTACTAGAGTTCGTAAAAAAGAGAGGGGAGTAAACCGAGAATGGTGGGGATTTCATAAAATCGGGTTGGAAGAAACGTGACTAAATTCACCTTCTGCATTGTTGAAGGTCGAAAGAATATTTTGAAAATTTGTTTCAGATTTGCAAATAACTTGCAAATTTATTACTATTAATAGTTTACTCGTATCAATATACTCTAAGGCCATGGGTCGTAAATTTTTTGTTGGTGGCAATTGGAAAATGAATGGTACCAAAAGTGAAATAAATGATATTGTGAGTTTTTTAAAAAAAGGTCCACTCGATTCAAATGTTGGTATGTTTTTTCTTTGAATTTTATTATTTTTCTATGTTTTTAATCTATATTCTTTTATTATTTTATTCATAACATTAATTGTTCATGAATAATTCATTATTCATTATAATATTAATATAATAATTATAATCTTATAATAATATATTCAAATACTAAGCAATATATTTCATTATAATTAATAAAGTAAATATATTAAAATTAAAGTACATAATTATATTATATCATAATTATATCAGAGGTTGTTGTTGGAGTACCATCTATATATTTAACATATGCCAAGAATATATTACCCAATAATATTAGTGTTGCTGGACAAAATACATATAAAGTTGCAAAAGGAGCATTTACTGGAGAAATAAGTCCTGCTATGCTTTTGGACAATGGAATCCCATGGGTAATTCTTGGTCATTCTGAACGTAGAAATATTTTTGGTGAAAATGATGAATTAATAGCAGAAAAAGTAGCCCATGCTTTAGAAAGTGGACTAAAGGTAAAATATTAATTATTTTAAAAATATTATTATTCAAACTACAATTATAGAATTCTTTATATGTAATCAAAATATATATATATATATATATATATATATAAAATTTAAAAATTAATAAATATCAATATGTGTATGTATTTAATAAAGGTAATTGCATGTATTGGCGAAAAATTGGAAGAAAGAGAAGCTGGTAAAACAGAGGAAGTAGTTTTTAGACAGACGAAAGCTATTGCAAATAAGATCAAGTCATGGGATAATGTAGTTGTTGCTTATGAACCAGTTTGGGCAATTGGAACGGGTAAAACAGCCACGCCACAACAAGCTCAAGAGGTTCATGAAAAATTAAGAAATTGGTTTTCTAAAAATGTTAATCAAACTGTCGCAGAAACTATTAGAATTATTTATGGAGGTTCAGTAACAGCAGGAAATGCAAAAGATTTAGCAAAAGAAAAAGATATTGATGGATTTCTAGTTGGTGGAGCATCTCTAAAACCTGATTTTGTACAGATCGTTAATGCTAAGCAGTGAGATGAAATATTCTTTATATAAGAATATTATTCTTTAAATTAATATACACTCTAAGAATGTGTATATTATAATAAGTATAAAATAAGTAAGAATTAATTTATAAATATTTTCTTGTTGTTTGTATAGAGAAAGTTTTATGTCATGTTGCTGCAATGAAGAGTTATTATCCTATAATTAACAATAAAATATATATTTCATTCTTTTATTCTTAAAAAACATATGCTTGTTGTAAATACATAATCATTAATAATTCAATAAATGTTACAACAAAATGTAAGTTTCATGATTTATTTAACCTTTTAATCTAATTCATCAACTAATCTTTCAATCATAACATTTTCAGGCATAGAATTATTGGCAACTTTTGGATCACCTCCAAGTTTTGCCTTTGCACATGCAATATCAGATAAACATTTAAATGTTCGTGGTTCCCAAATAGCCAAAATTGCTAATGATTTGCGATTTAATAATACATTACATCTACTTAATCCTTCTAATAGCACTTTTAAACCAATACCATGTTCATTTGTAGCAGCATCTATTCTAGTTTCCCAAAGCTATATGAAAAAGAAAAGATTAATTATATAATATTTTAAAGAAAATTTTTCTTGCATAATACCTCTCTCATATCTTGTTTTTTAAGCTTTCTTCCTTTTGTAGAAAATTGCAATGCTCTATGTACACTTTTAATAGTTAAGCTATAGCAATTTCTTCTCCTTCCAATATAATGCTGGAAAATTTTTATTATAATTAAAATTTTATTTTGCATAATTTTTTTCATTCGAATAATGTTGTATATTTACCGCAGCAAGTTTGAATATTTGTCGTTTACGCCAGAATTCATCAGGACCTCGACATCTCACAAATAACTGTGCAGTTAAAAATACCATTTTTCTTTTAAATTTAAATAAATAATAAAAATCAAATGTTTATATGATATTTATATATAATTTTTATTTTCATAAATATAGCGCACTACAATATGCAACCACATAACCTAATATTAATTTATAAAATCCCCAATTTCAATATTTAAAACACACTATATTGTAAAATAGTTACTTATATGTATATATATATATATATATATACCTAACTAAAGTTAAAATATATCATATAGGGACTTTTTACGCTAAAGACTTGTGTGAAGATTTTGACTCGAAAATTTATAATAAAATAAATCACCAATCAAAAAACTAAACACTAATATAAATAAATGAATAAAATATAATGATTCAAATCAAATAATATTATAATTATTGGTTAAAAAATTACATCAAGATCAAGAGAAATTACAGTAGAAAATTTCTTGAAAATATATTCATATTCTTGTGTCTTCAAAAAATTATTAAATTTTATTCGAGTAACAAGAAAAAGTGCTTCTAATAAAATTATAATTTTCTAAAAATAATAAATACGTATTGTTTTTTATTACTTGTGAAAAAAATCTGTTTTACAAAATAAATTAAATTTTTAAACAAAGTTTTGTAAGTTTTATACAGTAAAATACACAATCACGTGTTGTATAATTCTGAAATACTTTTGATTATAATTTTTTTATTATATATATATATATATTATATATAAATTTTAATATGAAAAATAAAAAAAGGTAAAATAAGAATTAAATCTTGAATAAAATACTAATTTAGTATAAAATATAATAAAATAAAATATAGATTTTTGAAAATATTAAGTAAATTATTTCATTTATTTATAATGTTTAAAATGTTTTTTTTTTGTTATTAATAATATATAATGTATATGTACTTTTTTCAGTAAAACAAAAGTAACAGAAATGAATAGAGAAACAGACAATTTGGAAAATATAGATATAAATGATATCACAAATTCTGAAGAAGAATATTCTGAAAATGAACGCAATTTACTTAGAAAGATACGAGAAAGACAATCTTCAGAAAGTTATGATAGTGATTACGAAGTATATGGATTACATGAAGAAAATGAACAAGATCAAGATGATACTGAAAATGAAATACAAACAGATTCTATGGAATCTGATATTGAAGGATTACGAGAAGATTTTGATCTACCAAATGAAAAAGCTTGGGGAAAAAAGAAAAAAGATTATTATTCTACAGATTATGTAGATCCTGATTATGCCACTGCCAATCAGAAAGATTTAGTTGAAGCAGAAATGGAAGAAGAAGAGGCTAAAAATATTCAAAAAAGATTGGCAGAACAGTTGGATGATGTGGATTTTGGATTGGATATTATACAGACAACAAAAAATGATAATCAAAAAATATACGAGAATGCAGAACAATTTATAAAATCTGATCTCAGTAAACTTAGTAAAAGACAAAAGCAAGCAATAATGCAAAAAGAAAGTCCTGAATTTATGGTTCTTGTAAATGATTTTAAAGGTATTATAATAAAAAAAATTATAAATTATTTTTAAATAAGATACAATTTAAAATATAAATATTTTCAATATATATTTTATGATTTAGATTATATGACTGAAGCAAAAGATTTATTAGCACCATTTTTAAAATTGGTTAAAAATGGTATAATGCCTAATTGCCCTGCTGTTTCTTTAATAAGGATAAAATATCATCTTTTGTTAAATTATTGTATCAATATATCTTTCTACTTGATGCTTAAAGCAAAAAGATTACCTATTAGTACTCATCCAGTTATAAAACGTTTAGCACAATATCGTCAATTATTAAATCAACTTGAATCTGAGCAAGGAAATTTAATTCAAGAAGTACAGGAAATATTAAAAACTAAAAAAGAAGAAAAAATATTGTATAACATATTAGATAACAATAAAATGAGCATCAATGAACAAAAAATAAATCATATCAATGAAAAAACAAATCATATAGAAAAATTTATAAATGAAGATAAAAATATATCTTCGTTAGAATCTGAATCTGATTTTGAAATAGAAAATAAATATACAAATGAAAAAATAAATTTACAGGATAGAGAAGAAAATAAAATAGAAAATATTGATACATTAAATACTATAATTAATGATGAAGGAAAAAGAGCAATTACATATCAAATAGCAAAAAATAAAGGTTTAACACCACATCGTAAAAAAGAACAACGTAATCCCAGAGTAAAACACAGAAATAAATATCGTAAGGCCAAAATTCGTAGAAAAGGAGCGGTATGTATATATTTAAAATAGTGAAAAATAATTATTCTAATAATAATTAAAAAATTATTTTTATTTTATTTTATAGATAAGAGAAGTGAGAAAAGAAGTTACTCGTTATGCTGGGGAAATATCGGGTATTAAAGCTAGTGTAAAAAAAAGTATCAAATTGAAGTAAAAAATAAATTTGCATTAAAATTGTTTTACATTAAAAATTGTAGAATTATCTTTATTTTCTGTATGTCTTATATTAAAATAATATATTTATTTATGTACAAAATACAAGTATAAATTTACTTAATACATTAATATGAATTCTTTTTTATTTATATGAAATGTCAAAATAAAAAGATAGAAGAAATATTATTTAAACAAAAAGTAATATATAAACACAATGAACATTTATTTTTTCTTTTTTTTTATAACTATGAAATCATGACACATAGAATAGTAGATACATAATAGCATTGTATGATATAATTATGAACATTAAAGTTTGCATGAAATTAACTTACATTTTACTGTTTCATTGTTTACATATTTCTTATAAAATATTTTATAGTATTTGAACAATTGCAAACATAAATTTAATAGAAACTTAAACTTCTAATTTTGCCAGTATATCTGACTCACGGAATAAATGAAATTCTTTATTATCTTCAAATTCTACCTTAGTTCCACCATATTCTGGTAATAATACAATATCACCAACTTTGATACTTAAAGGAATGTGTTCACCTTTCTGAAATTAAATATCAAATATTCTTATTAAAAATAATCTTATTAAAAATAGATATCAATATTTTTTTTTAATTCGTGATTAAATCATATTATTATAAATATTACATATTTTTAACATACATCATTTCTTTGTCCAGGTCCAATTGCTACAACAGTTCCTTGCAATACTTTTGCTTGAGCTTTTTCTGGTAAAACAATACCACCTTTTGTTTTTGTTATAGCTTCAGCTCTTTGCACAAGAACTCTATCGAAGAGAGGTATAAGTCTCTTAATGGCATTAGTTGCAGCCTATTATAAAAATATTAATATATAATCATAATATTTAACAATTTTTATCAATGTACATTTATAATAAATAAATCAAATTAATTACTTTAAGATCATACATGGCGCAATTTCACAAAATTTTTTGTAATATTTAAAATTAAAAAAAAAAAAGGTTAGTTTTTATAAAATATATATTTGATACTTATAAATGAAAATAAATAATGAAAATACAATATATATAAAATCACAGAAATTAATTTCTTATTTATAATTAATTTTACTATTAAATTTGCGATGTGTTGAATCACAAGCACAGAATAGAAATTATTATTATATGTATTTATTTTTGTTTTATTATCTGTTTTATAGTCATTTGTTTTTCTTTTCTTAATAACAAAAAAAAAAGAAGGAGGAAAAAAACCAATACCGGCCATGCGGCAAAATTTGTAGTGAGAAATTACTGAAATTACTATATTAAACAAAAAAACAACGAATGACAAAAGTATTATACATGATTTTTGATTTATTAATTATATACTTTAAAAATCAAAAGATAATTAATAGAAAATATATTTATTTATCTAATAATTTAGAGGTTATATTCATAAAAATGTTTTAAAAATTATAAAATTGATTTATTATTTTACATGAAAAATTTTAATAATATAAAATATAATTTTTATTTTCTTACCATAGTTTCTAAAATTATAAACTTCAATAATCCACAGAGAACGTGTACTTGTGCACGTTGTGCAACCTATATACTGAAAGCGAACAATCTTTCTTGTTCTTCTCGAAGATTCCGAATGTGCCCCACCACGTGTTTATTGATTTCGTATTCGAGCAAGAGCAAGATTCGTTATATAATTATGTTATATATATTTTTATTTATTCATATATGATGTAAAATTTATTAAAAATGTCACTAAAATACTATTAAACGCATAAAATAATATTATAATCATTTTAGTTAAATACTTTAACAAAATTTTACAAGATAAAAAATATAACGATACAATACATTAAATAATTTTTTTAAAAAAATGAGTTCTAAAATTCAACTTTATTTTCATATGTTTATTTTTTATTATAATATAATAATATTAAAGTAACAATTTATTATTCTTAATTTTGCTACATTTATCACTAACATTTTACTTATCATCTAAATTATGTTATATATTGATAAAATGATTGGTAACGAATAAATATTATTTATCATAAAAAATTATTGAATAAAATATTTTCTTTTAATTTGCATGTAAACATAAAAATATAAATTAAAATATTGATAAGGATATTTTGATAAAGATAATTTTTTATATGATTCTATAATAGGTTATATATTAAAAATATTCATTTTCATCATATAATAAATATTTTATAGATTGAAATATTTTTTATCATTTGATATTTTTAAAATGAAATAAAGTTAAAATAATAAAGATTACATTTATCAAATTATTTACTTCAAAACATATTGATAATAATATGAAAAATGATTTAAAAATTCGATATTTTTAAATAAGTATTAAAAATAAAAGTATTTCATCAGAAGAAAATAATTCTTAACAGTTTTTAATAAAATTAATACATTTTTCTTCTTCTTATTATTATTATTATTACTATTATATATTAATATTATAATTATATTTGAAATTGTTAAAAAATCATTTATAAACTAATTTTAATTTAGAGATTGAGAATCATTACAATAAAGAACATGTTACCGGTATATCGACGAACATGATTGGCGAATACAGGATGATTGCATCACATATTCTCGTACATTCTAGAACATAATCCCACACTAAGAAAATGATATATGAATATGAGATAAAGAATTAAATATTGTTAAAAGAAAGAATAAGAATAATTATAAGATTTTTATTTTATTTGTATTTTATTTCAATTAAATTTATTGACAA